TATTGGGCATCTTTTCACATGCCTCCTGGACACTCATATATCTTTGCTGAATTGTCTGTTCAAATCTTTGGCCCATTCTTTAAATTGGCTTATTTTCTTTATATTATTGAGTCACAGTTTTGAGTTATATTTTAATTAACACAGATCAGAACTAGGTCATCCTCTCTTCTAACCCTTACCTGGCCTCCTCCCAGGAAATCTGGAGCAAAATCCAAAAACCAGGGTCTGGTCCTCTATAATCTGGCCTCACGCCTTCTCTGATCTGTCTTCTCCCCTGGCCCTTAGTTCAGTCCTTTCTTCCACATAGGCTGCCTGGCTGTGCTCTGAAACAACCAGGCATCTCTTACCAGGATCCATCTTATTCAGGATTCTCTGCACACATTCAGGGTTCATCCACCCCCGCTCCTAAAAAAAGAGCTGGGGTTTCCCTGCATTGTAGGCTTCTAGCACTGCTGTGGAATGAATTTTAAAAATGAGTGGATGAATGCCTCTTACCTAGGTAGAAAGGTCAGGGAGGTCTCCTGACGAAGTGACACTGCAGCATGATCACAGAAAAATAGGAGTTTATCAGGTAACAAGGTGGAGAAAGAGCATTCCAGGTAGAGGGGTCAGCACCTACAGTGGCCCTGTGGCAGAAGGGAGCATGGGGGAGGTAAGAAGGTATATGGGTGGAAGAGACGGAGAGGAGAAGGTAACAAGGGGCTGTTTTTAGTCTCTATACCAAGACCCTGAGCAAGATGGGAAGCTCCCAAGGTTTTTGCAGGTGAGAGGAATGGAGGTGACCGTGATTGGTGATTCAAGCATTCCTCTGGCTGCCAAGAGAGAAAACAGAGAGACCTCCTAAAGACACCCTCACAACAGTCCAGGGAGGAGACAGGAGTGGTCTGAGATCTAATGGAGGCTGTGGTAGTGAGACATGGACAGAGATTCAGGAAAGCTTTAGGATGCGAAGATGTGCAGTGGATGGGTGACTCTGAGGGGGAGGGAGAAGGAGGCCAATCCCCAGATCTCTGGCTCTGGGGTGGAAGGACGGATAGCAGCGGCCTGAGACTGCGAAGGCGAAGGTGTAGTGAGAATGTCCTGGGCTGGGTCTTGGTCACACTCAACTCCCGACGACCTGGAGACATGTGTATGTTGTGTAGGGGCTGGGGCTCCAAGGTGCACTTCTGGGAGTCCTCTTGGGATGAAATGGGCCAGCGGTGCCGAATCCAGGGCTGGGCAGTCAACAAAGAGGCCTGGGAGGCTGGGTTGGCCAAGGATGGGAAGGTTGGCGAAGGGAGAAAGAGAGTGGGAGTGGGGCGGGGAGCTGACGGCTGGGTCAAAGCCTCAGGACAAGAAAGAGGTCTCGCTGTTTGGACGCCTAGGTTCTTGGATCCTCGACGCGCTCATGGGCTGGAAGCTAGGCCGGAGACAGCGAGTGTAGACAACCTTCTGGGCAAGGAGAGATGGATAGGAGCTCCGACGGGGTGTTCAGTGGCCTCAATAATTAGGTCTCTACCCGCCAGGACAGAGGTGAGGGGAGAGTGCGGGGGTCTGGGGAGGCCCCAGCCCAGCACTGCTACCAGTCGGGCCAACGCAGGCCTACGCAAGCCGGGCAGCCGGGGTCCGAGGGGAGAAGGGAAGAAGAGGAGGAGGAAGGCAGACGGAGGAAGGGAGGGAAAAGAGAAAAGGGCAGGAGGGAAAACAGGGGAGGAAGGAGGACGGGGCAGGAAGGGAGGAGGGGCGGGGCGGCGGGGGCGGAGCGGCGGGGGGATGCGTCCCCGCGCCGAGCTAATCTGGCCCCTCTCTCCTTCCGCACAGTCGGGGCTTCCGCTTCCCTCCCGGGCTCTGGGGTGA